ACTACTCAAGCACTTCTATCCTGATAACGAGAAACTGTACTAGCATACAATGCTAAGCTCATACTATCAGGCATAACCTAAACAGGCTATCCTACTGCTGTCTACTCAATACTAGCATGCAATCCTCAATAAGCTGAAACACATATAACAGGCACATAAGGCATCCTCCTAGATCCTTAGTCCTATTCTAGCATGCTGTTCTACTGAAACTGGAACTGATAATTATAACATAAACTTGTATGGGTAATTTGGGAGTACTTACTTGAGCTCGGCTGATCGCATGCACCACATCCTTTTCCTTTTCTCAAAACTCTTTTCTTTTTAAGTTTCTTTTTCAAAAATTCTTTTGAAAACATTTTTCTTTTGAAAATCTTTCACCATTTCCTTAGTTTGAGTCCAGTCATACCCGAAAGTGTGGCTGCATCCCTCAAACCAAGGCTCTGATACCAACTTGAAACATCCCCATACATACAACCCAAAAGTTTCGTTTTTAAACATTATTAAAACCATCAACCATCCAGAATCATAAGTAAAATCGTAATCGTGTATCATAAAACATCATAGTGTCCGTCTCAAATCAAAATCTCATATCCAAATATCAGAGTCTAACTCCCAGGCTGAAGACTGTGGTGTGTGCCATGCGATCATCCCGAGCCCTTCCCAGTGCCAGTGGAAGTACCTGAAACCAAAACTGAAAACCGTAAGCACGAAGCTTAGTGAGTCTCCCCAATCTACCACATACCATCTACACATAGCATGCAACTAGGAGATACGGGCCTCGCCCACACTCGTGGAGATACGGGCCTCGCCCACACTCCGCTAACTGGGAGATACGGGCCCCGCCCACACTCCGCTATCTAGGAGATACGAGCCTCGCCCACACTCCACTGTCTAGGAGATACGGGCCTCGCCCACACTCCATTATCTCTGAGGTACGGGCCTCGCCCATGCTCAGCTACTTCGAGATACGGGCCTCGCCCACACTCGGCTATGATGAGATACGGGCCTCGCCCACACTCAACTACTAAAACCAACATACAAGTATCACAGAGACGACATGTAAATCTAATCTATTGTTCATACATCATAATCAACTACTATTATGAGATACGGGCCTCGCCCACACTCTGCTAAGATAGGATACGGGCCGCGCCCATACTCAACTACTATCATATCATACTACGGGCCGACCTTGGTGCCGTAGACCCGTTCCTACTGAAGGATAACTCACCTCGTATAACTGGCTGCTGATATCCCGAGTGAGAAATCCTTATTTTATGCTCCGACGACTCCCCGGGTACAATCACATAACATTCTGAATCAACTGATGATTCCTCATGGAGTAAATGACCAATTTACCCCCTGGTCACAGTCAAAGTCCTGGTCAGAGTCAAACTTCCAGGTTGACTCTACTCGCCGAGTCCTACTATGGACTCGCCGAGTTCCCTAACTCACAATTATCTAACTCGCGACTCGAATCGCCGAGTCAGGGCATGGACTCGCCGAGTCCCTCCACTTCCAGATCCTTGTTCTAACTCACCAAGTCATTTTCCACTCACTGATTCAACTCACAACTCTCAAATCGGGGAAAACAGGGGTTTACGCTCCGACTCGCCGAGTCCGATGAACGACTCATCGAGTCCTATGCATGTTTTCACTATACAGTTGATCCTAATCGATTCCAGTGCATCCAATTCATAGATCTGAGCTTCTAGGGCTAATATAACACGTAAAGTTGCCAACTTTACGTACATGCATAGAGGTATGAAGCTAAAACACCAAAATAAGCTAGAAATGGGAACCTAGGGTTTGGAACAAGGCCTTGCTTTGCATAAAGGCAGCTACTTTGAGCTCCTGGAGCTCAATGATGACCAGATCTATAGTCTCCATCCTATGGAGAGCTCAAATCTCGAGTTTGGACCTTGAATGTCCCAAAAGTGGCTTAAACAAGCATATATAAAGATCTACTAGGAAAATGAACAAGGTAGAGACTTTATTACCAGATGAAGTAGCAAATGGAAGCTAGCTTCTGGATCTCCTTCTTCTCCTTTGCACCTTCACTCTTTCCTTCCCTTCTACCCTTCCAAGAATACACCAAAACACTCAAAATCAAGAAGGAATCACTCAAGCTCACCAATGGAGGCTAGGGTTTCGAGGGGGAATGCTCTAAGGGTGCTGGAGGCTGGGATGGGGGCTATAAGGACGTTTAAATAGGGTACAAACCCTAAGGATTAGGGTTTCCTCTAGACTGGCCTACTCGTCGAGTCCATGCGTGGACTCGCCGAGTAGATCACTTAAAACCCGCGTCCATCCTGGCATATACTCGACGAGTTAGGGCTACTACTCGCCGAGTAGCTCTTTATAAAAGACATTTAATAAATTAAATACGTACCAGGAACTGGGCGTTACACCAAGCTTCTTATATTTCACACCTTCTTCACAAAATGCACCAAAAAATCACTCTTTAAGCCTCACAACACTCAAGAACAAGGTTAATAACCTTTAGGGTTTCCTTCTGGCCGCCAAGAGGTGATAAGGGACAGGAGGTAAGGACTTAAGGTCCTTTAAATATGGTGCAAACCCTAAAAATTAGGGTTTCATCTCCCAGCTGCTACTCGTGGAGTCTGAGTCCTCCGACTCGTCGAGTAGATCCAATAATCCACGCGGGCTGACTAAGTTCTACACGACGATTTGGGGCCTCCAACTCGTCGAGTTCCTTCAATAAATGAGTAAAAAGCTTTTAAAAATATACCTGGGAGTCGGGGTGTTACAATCATTCTCTTTTTTTTTTCTTTCCTTTCCTTTAGTGAACTCGGGAGTGGAGCCTTTGAGATAAGAAGCGAGAAAGAGATTCATAAATCATACGTTACAGAGAAAGAGAATCAAAAATCAAATTTTGTTTACCCGTTTAATTTGATGATACCGACTTTCCTAGAAACGTGCAAGATCGATAACCATCCGGGAGTGGCCCAATGGTGGCGTTGCAAAAGAATTGGTCGTTTGGGTATTTGGGAAGATTAAAAAAAGAGTTTTTTTCCACATTTGGATTGATATTTTTTAAAAATAACTTAAAAATAACTTATAGTTGTCCCATACATCAAATAAGCCATTTTTGATAAATTACTTTCCCAAATTTATCAAAAACTTCTTATAACTTATAGCTATCTCACACCTTTTGGAAACCTTTTTTTTGTTATATTTCCAAAACTAAAAAGTGTTTGTCAACTTATAATAATCATACTAGGCATACTAGGTGATTAAATTTGGGGCCTTATATATGTTGGAAGCCCTAGGCCATCACCCAACTTGCGTCCTGTTAGGCTTGTCTTAGGCATGGTGGTCGGTGAGGTGGTGCTTACTTAGTATAATAATGGTTCCAGGAATACTGCCCACCCAACTTAAAAATGTACCGAGCGGTGAAGGTGCCCACAGAAGAATGTCACCCCGTCTCTCTCTTTTTCTTCTTACTACTTTTCCATTCGTTACATTAATTTAACATACATACACACACACACACACATATATATATATATATATATATATATATATATATATATATATATATGTGTGTGTGTGTGTGTGTGTGTGTGTAAATTCTTTTCAACCCTATAATTCTAGGTTGCATTGATAGTCTATATTGATCGTGGGTAATATGCCTTAATGCATGGTGTGGTCAATTCATGTGAGGTGATCGTTGAGAGCCCTCAATAATTCTTGAAGAAGTGGTATCATATGATATATGACTTTGGTATGCATTCTTTGGTTCGCAAGTGCCAACAACGACATCAATGTTCTTACCAATCACTTTTATTTAACGCATCTTTCTTGAGAAGGCACAAGACTTGTTGTTTGAAGTGAATAAAATATCATGCAAGTGGGGGTACTACATTACCAAAAAGATATATCTTGAGTATTCTATATTTGTGTCTCGATAACAAAAAACAATTAAAGTTTTTGTCAACTTAAGAAAGAGCTAGGAAGAATGTTGAATGAACGTTTTGTATCCGTAAGATCGCTGGTAGATAATAAAAAACATGACATATTCACGAGACCACAAAATAATACAATCTTTATCGTATGCTTGTATCATATTACAAAATTAGTTGTGAGACCCATGTATTACATGAGTTAATTATATATATATATATTATGAATTATTATAATGAAAATGTTTTTTTATCTTTTAAATTTAAATAAATAAACAAAAAAACTAATGAACTTTAATTTTGAGAATTTTTAAATTAAAAGCTAAGTTCATTAATGACATTGATATCCATTTATTATTACATTTATTGTAATTATTACATTAAAATATTATGTGGAATTTAAAAAAATAGAAAAACTTATAAAATGACACGTGGAAAAAAAATTAATTCAAAATAACCACAAAATGACATTTGACAAATTAAATAAGAGTGTGACAAGTGGTAAAAAAAATATTTATTTATTAGAGTAGATATTGTCTTAGAAGATGAATGAAAGGCAATATGCCACCATGATGAAAACCAAAATTTTACCATCCTATCAATAGAAATGAAAATGTTACAATACATAACAAACAAAACGGAAGTACACAACCAAGATACAGATCACAACCTTCACGATGATTTGAAACATATTTACAGAACTCGGCTACGCACTATCGACGAGGATTCATGCGATAATTCGAACGCGATATCAACATGGATTAGGATGAGGATCGAGAGCGATGAACTTTTTTAATTATTGTCATGTTTTAGTTTTGTTTTAATTTTTATGTAATTTTTATTATTCTATTTTGAATTAATGAAAATTTTCGCTTTTTATTAATTTTGAATTTGTTTATGAATAAATTATATTATTAATATATCTTTTTTTTAATCTAAAAATTGAATGATAGTAAGATGTTAATATTTCGTAGGTGTGGGGAGTGTGCAGAGAAAATAACATAACGTTAAGGAAAAAATGAAAGGTGCGGTGAAAGTGAACGTGAAACCACATCTAATAGTCTAATAATAGAAACTCCATCATAAAAAATGCAAACAATTACTTAAAACAGGTTTGAAAAATCCTAGAAAAAACATCAAAATCCGTTTTAAATGAAGCCTAAAAGAAGGATCAAAACCACATGTTGTCGCATCTCACGACCAGAATGGTCGAATTCCTTGACCGGAGTCCGTATGTTGGTTTCCTCGACCCTTCAACATCCTCCTCTGTCACTACACCCAAATTTATGATCTAATCCTCGATACTTCTATAGGCACATCGCACATGTTCTGTTGTTTATAAAGGATGCATCCGTTTTTTACAGGTTTAAGTTTAAAAAATACCAAAATTCAAAATTATGTCTAAACTCTAAACTACTTATATTTCTATATATATTAACAATATAGTTAGATATCACAACACTATCTCCTCCAAAAAAAAAAAAAAATGAAGTTAAAGGGCTTTGGCTATGACCACTCTGAGGTTCTACCCTCAATTCCTTGTCTCATATGATATGATCAACTTCTGTTATAAAGAAAACAAGAAAGAAACATAAGTGAAAATACATATGTGTCAACCATGAATTAATATAAAAACTGAACATAAATAATAAAAAGAAAAATTAGCATAAAGAAAGAGACTCTTTTTGAGATTGCAAGGAAGATAATTAGATAACCGACCTTCTGCTATTTACCTACTGGAGCCTGAGCACAACTCAAATAATCCACAGCAACTCTTCCAAGAAGTTTTTTCAGGTGCTTGAGAAAAAGGATTTGGAGATAACAATGGCTGCATATATGATTGTAGAAACATAAGAACACAAAATCAAGATACAAGTGTTAAGAGGAAGGGCGTACATATTTTTCAGGGCATTCAGGCGTATCGTGTTTTTTCAAACGATCAGCACCACCCCTTCCACAAAACGGGCAGTTTAACGTTGAAGCTGTTAAACAGTCCTTCGATTTTGGAGAAGCTTTCTCGTCTACTGAAACCAATTTCTCAACCAACTCCGCAAGTCCCGTTTCTTTTGGATGAATAAGATTTGAAGAATTCTCATCCACACCTGTTTGTTTCAATGGCGATTTGGTGTTTTTCTGTTGACGCTTTGTTTTGTTATTTACTGGATTAAGAATCCCCTTTTCAGGCGAAAAATTAGCAGGTTCGATTGCCACCGCTTTCTTTTTATCGCGAGATTTGTTAGCTGAGCTACTTCTAGGAATCAAACTTTTCTCTTGTGACCTTTTATCGATCTCAATTTTGCTTTCTTTCTCGTCGGTTTTTTTGTCTTCGCTTGTTTCCAGCTTGACTGGTGGAAGGGGAGATGTATGTTGACTGTTTGATGTTGAAGAGCTAAATTCCCCATCATCACTCTCTCCTAACGAATCCAAATAACAAATCACAAAATTAAAAGTAATTGAACTTCAAGATTTCAGATATGAAATACCCAATGCCACATTCTTCATCGAACACCAAATAGGCATCAGGCATCGAATGTATATAACTCTTTTAGGGAAAAGATCTAACTTAAGAGAAATTAAAAACCCATACATAGAAACGAAGAAAAGCATCGAATTAACAATTGGTAAGAATTGAGAGAGAAACGTGTGCGTTCATACCATCACTAGGGGAATGTTCGGGTGTGGAAGCGGAGCTTTTTGAAGGTTTAGCCTTCTTTTTCTTCTTCTTGGTAGATTTTCGCTTGTTGGGACCAGGTGACATGGTTGATGTATGATTATCAAATGGGTTGTTGTCGTTATTGTTTCCTCTTGTTCCACTCTTTTGGAATCAAAATCTATGAATCTATTATGTATATAAGTATATGGTGATTTTGTTGTTGTTATAGAGAATGCATGAATTTGAAGGTGGTAGGCAGAGTGGGCATGCATGTTTGCAATCTGATACGGAAACGGGGAATCATGCATCAAGTTTGTGGCGTCATTTTGGTAGGCGTCCCTTGTTTTACGTTTGTTACAATTTTGTACATCAGTAAAATATATGCTTGATATTGTTTCTTATCATTTTCTTAAATTGTATTAATAGTACAAAGATTTATCAATTTACAAACAAACATCGAATGTGAAAATGAAAAGTGTAGGAAATGAATGTTTGACAACTACGAGATTTATCTTCAACCGAATTCTATTTAGAATCTTATATATAAATACAATCAATCATATATAATCACAAAAAATATGAAAGAAATTAATAAGAAAATGTGACTTTAAACATGAATACTCTGCAACACATGTATGTGATTCAAACTCATGGATATAACTGCCTTGATCATCATCCGTAAAGAACAATTGTATATAGGAATTGAGTAACCGAGAGGATAATCGAGAATGCCTCCATTGTTCTCTGGAAAATGCACAACAAAAAGCGAAAAAAATTAAACACAATTAAATGCATAATAATATGTCATCAACTTTATGATATGAACCAAATAATTATGAATTTTTTTTTCATTAATGTAAACTTACCAGTGTCGCATTTCTGCCTTCAAGCTCGATTTCCTTCCATGCAAACCTGCCATGCATGTGCATGCATTAATACAATAAATTTCTTAACCTTTTTCGTGTACCATTAATTATTTCAATTTTTTATAAAAGAAATGAAAATATTCAGGAATAACACAAAGATCATGTTAATTTTTGGATAAAATCGTTATAATGAGGTGTTGAATACATACCCCATGGAAAGCAGAGTAAGTGCCCATGCAATAACGGCAGCAGAAGTTGCTGCAGGTCGGGAATCAGAATTCCAAGAACGAATATAGTCAAAGCCAGCTATGGAGGATGCAACACCAACAACACCAGCAATTAATGAAAACGTCACAAAGAAACCAGTGGCTGCGTTTCCCATTGGGAAGTATATAGGCGAGAAATGAGCAGGCAAATCGAACCCTGGACCTGTTTACAACACATAATTAACCCTACACCCCATCAACGAAAGCCACAGAATTTAGAAAGATTTAGGGTTTAGGGTTTAGAGAGACATGCATATATATACCAATGATGAAACCATGATCGATGGCTCGGTTCATGGCCCAACCACCAAGGCCTAGAAGCACGACGTACATGGAGATATTGAGGAACATAAGGAGGGTTGCAACCGATCTCATATCATTAGCAGCCATTGTGTACGTTGGATAGAAGAATTAATGTACCTAGCTCTGTGTTGTATTATGATTTATGGGGTGTTTTTAAAGATGTGGTTAAATTGGTTATTGGGTTCTTTTCTTGTTGAAGGTGGTTGCTTTAAGGTGTAAAGGTGAAAGGATAGGGTGTCATCGAGTTCAAGGCAAGGCACTTTAAGATTCTTGTCTCTTTTGATATTCTTTGATTAAGGCTTTTGCTCAGCTCAACCTCCTTTACAACTCTAGAGTTTTATAAAGGTATTGATCCATTGACCATATTTTTATATATGTTCGAAAATCGAAACAATAATCACTTTTTTTTTTCCTTTTTTTCCTAAACGACCATATTTTTAGAAAATTTGGATTTCTAACTATTTGTTTTATTTTCAAAATGCTTTTATTTTCTCTTGTTCTCTCTTATTTTCTTCCATATATAGCATCTTCCTCCAAAATCTTAGCTTTTAATGAAGAAGATTGAGTTTCTTTTTTCTTTATTTTATCACTAGCTTATAGTCCGTGAGAATTATAATTATGGTTATAAAAATAATTAATTTTTTATAGTAAAAACAAATAATTATTAATCAATTATTTTCAATAAATTATTAATTACACATGATTTTGTAGGATTTTCAATATAAAAATACAATTAATTATCGGCAATCATAACCGATACTTATTCAAAACAAATTTAAATTTCTCCTAACAATCAAGCATCAAATAAATAACTGTCTAACTTATTATCAACATCAATATTTTTTAAAAAATAAAAAATGATGAGAAAATGACAAGTGACATTTTTATAGAGAATTTAAAAAGAAAACGTAAATTGTAAGAAAATGACAAGTGGTACTAAAAACTATTCTTTTATTAGTATAGGAAGATTATTAGTATAGGAAGATTTCCATTATAATACAAATAATTAGTTTGAAACTAATGAACAAATTAGAAAACTCGTAAACAAATTCGGAATGAAAAACCATGAAAAACCATGAAAAACAAGTTTGAAAATCTTGAACAAATTCTTAATTTTCTAATTACATATGATTTCCAACCTAATGAAAAAATTGAATTTGAAATTTCAAACTACTTTTTCTAAAGACAAAATTGCAAGAATGGTCCCTGTGGTTAGGTCGAAATTGCCACTTTGGGCCAAACAGGTTTGGACTAGCACTAATGGTCCAAAGGTTTTCATTTTCTTGCCACTTTGGTCCAATTTACTTTAAACTTTTTTGTAATGACGATTTTGCCCTTGGTTTTGCTTTTTCATTTTTTTTATTTATATAGTTTAATATTTAAAAGAAAAACAAAAAAAGAAAATACATCTCTCTCTCTCTCTCTGTCTTAACAAAAAAAAAACAGTTGACCCGATCATTTCTCACCATCTCTTCCTCCGACGAAGAAAGGAGGCTGCCGACCACCAGCTTCGCAGCCCCTCCCCGCCTCCCTCCGGTCGTGTAGCACCACCAAACACCCATCCCTTCACCCACTGTTCAGTTGTTCTTAGCTCCGATAAATTGACCATCCCAGCTCCGATAAATCGACTTAGCCACCAAGAAATGAAAACCCAAGCCGCCAATAAACCCTAACTTCAGAGTTTGCAGCGGCTCAACCATCGTCTTCGTCGAGTTGCTAGGGTTTGCAGTGGCAGGGAAGGGCTTCAAAGACGAAGATTGGAAAGGCATCAAAACCCCCAAGGGTTTTCAACGTCGTCGTGTTCGTCGTAAAAGGTGTAGATCAGCGTCGTCCTAACAGATCTGCAAAATTGTCGGATTCGTGGCTATTTGAAGGTGAAGATCCGTTGAACACCCTATCTTACAAGATCTCCACCTCGAGCGTAGGAAGCCACCGCCGACAACTACTACGTCGTCGCTGCCTTGCTCTCACCTTCACCAGTTTAGGGTTTGCAAACCCTAGCTCCGTCCGACCCCTTTCATTAAAAACCCTAGCTTCGTTTGGAGAAGCTCCAACAGTCGTATCGTCACCCGTCATCGTTGGAGATAACTGTTCTTCGTAGTTTATCCGTTGTATCGTCGCCGCCACCCTTCTTTTGTTTTCAGATCAACAAACACTTTTGATACATTTTGACTGGTAGTGGTGGTTGTAGCCTTCTCAGTCTAGATCTGTAGCTTGATCCGGCTTTCATATGATGCTAGGGTGTTAGTGGAGGTGCTCACAGGTGCTATTGTCGACGTTGATCAATGGTGGTGGTGGAGTTGATCGATGGTCATGGGTGTGGCGGCGATGACCGACGGTTTTGGAGGATTCTAGCAAAAAGAGGTGAGGAATATAGGTAGGAGAGAGAGATAGAGAGAGAGATGTATTTTCTTTTTATGTTTTTCTTTTAAATATTAAACTATATAAATAAATAAATAAAAACTGAAAAAACAAAACCAAGGGCAAAATCGTCATTAAAAAAAGTTTAAAGTAAGTTGGAGCAAAGTGACAAGAAAATGAAAACCTTTGGACCATAAGTGCTAGTCCAAACCTGTTTGGCCCAAAATGACAATTTCGACCTAACCACAGGGACCATTATTGCAATTTTGTCTTTTCTAAAATACAAATACCTTTTTTGTGAATTTGCTCTTTATATAACAATGTTGAAAGTACAACTTTTATGGTTATTTTTCGAAATTCATGTTTTTTTTTCTTTGTAAGGAAAACATTATGTGTTCGTTGAATTGGATATATATATATATATATATATATATATATTATATATATATATATATATATATATATATATATATATATATAGAAAAGACTTAGTTATTATAGCTACTTTATCTAAATCTCATTAAGATTTAATATGTCTCCTAAAAACTTTTATTTTTACCTTCTAGTTTTATCGCAAGTGTCAATTCACATTAGCGGGTTACATAAGCAAAGGTTGCAAAAATTAACTTGGACATTTCCTCTGCTCATAGGTGTGGTTGAATGTAATGGTTTTCTTTTATGTTGCTTCCTGTTTAGTGTTTTATGGTGGGTGATATTGGGCTTATTTTGAGCTTCGGTGTTCGGGATGCTTTCTTCCCCTATTGGTGATCTTTTTTGACCTGATGGACGGTTGCCCTTGTTTCTTGCATGCTTATGTTGAAAATTAATGGTTATTGTTAATCTTCACAAATATTGTTTAATAGTTCATAGGATGCATTTGATGGTTTGGTCTTGCTTTTTCTAGCTGCTTCTTAGGCCTGGTCTCCTTTTTATGGATTTTTTTTGTAGTTCCTCTATTGTTTTGTTTAGTTTGGTTTCTTGATGTCTTGTATAGGCTTTGGTTTTTCTCTTTTCCTTTGTAATCTCTTGTTTGTTTTTCTAGCTCCCCGTTGGCCCTTAAATTTAATCATATGTATCACTGATATATACAATAACTACAAATGTATATATTATATATTTTATGTTGATGAATCAATTATTTATGTAGAAGAATTAATAAGACTAAATAATAGAAATGGTGTTTAATTATAGTTGTCCAAAAGTTGTACTTAATGACTGTTTTTTTCTAACGATTACGTTCTCTAATTTTATATTTTGTTGTTGTTATGATACATATGGTTGACTAAACTTTGAAAGATTAGTACTATAT